TTGTGGCATTCCGGATCACGCCAGGCTCCTCGGGCCCGCCAGAGACGCATTATGTCCGCTACAAGCGGGACACCGCGGCCTCCAACGCCATCGCGAAGGATTTCGACGTTCGGTTTACACCGCGCGACCCGGAGGCGCTGGAGAGATGCTTCGAACACACCCAGAGCATGTCGGCCGACGAGAGCGGGGTCGGCTCCGAGGAGGTCCTGAAAAGGGATTGATAGGTCAACACTCGCAACTCGTGTAGAGGAGGTGAGGGTATAAAGTCTTCGGCATACATATTACTCGCACCTCAGAATAGTTTCTCCGCTTGTCGGGGAATAATCAATTAGTACCTGGCCTCGATGAAGGAAGAAAGAAGGGGCAAATAGTGTTCATGTCGAAAAGTCTCGAGAGTGTTGGAGTTAGGTTCAATTAAAGGGTATAAAGGGGAAACATGTGAGAATTATCAACCCTTTTGATCCCACGGACTACCATAGTGTTGTCTGATCTCATATAACTAGATATCTTACAACAAAACCAAGGCAAAGGGGAAAAAAGGAAATGCTGGGAAAGCGGCTTCCAGCTTATCGCTCAAACCATTTATTGATTTTAATGAACGTACGGTTAATTCTTAGAAAACGAACCGCCTCCACTTCTGCGTCTGAACACTGTTGTCAGGAAACCGTCATCCCCATACGTAGAACTTGTATTAGCGTAGTCTTATTCCCCCACGATCTCCTCCTTCCCAGTAGTCACCATGCCCTTTGTTTCTGTGTCCTGCATCTCCGGAAATGCAGGCTCCAGTCCGTCGTGTACGTGTTCTCGTGGTATGCCTCGCGTACGACTCTTTTTTCCAAGGAGACCGAGGATGATAGTCTTGAGCTGGTGTCTGCCGTCCCAGAGTGGATAGAAGGTGACGAGGAAGAAGGTGAAAAAGGCGTAGATGATACACATGACAATCCATCCGGTAAAGAACTGATTTTGGTTGGGGTAGTCCCCGCGTCAGAAATCGTTCTCTCGAATATACTGGAAGGGTGGCGGATCTTTTCCGTTCTAACAAGACTCGGCATGAGGTGAGAGAGAGTTCTTACCTTCTTCGAAAACACGTAGCGTGAACCATACATGGCATACGGCCAAATTACCCAGACGCCGAGGAACATGGAAACACCAGCGATGGAGGCAATCTTGCTCATCTTCTTCATCTTCTTGATCATCGCGGGGCTTAGGGCCTGAGACCGCTTGTTCGCTTCGATCTCCTCGGCGTTGAGGTCGTCGGTGATCAGCTCAACTTCGAAGAACTTGTTCCAGTCGAATGATTCGGGCTGGATGTTTCGTCAGTGAGAACGTGTACTTCTTCAGGGCAGATAGACACTTGGCGAACAGGGCTTGCTTACCTTGATTAGTGAAATCGTAACGGTATATATGGCAGGTGAGACAAAGGAAGCAATGACGCCGTACATGCAGGAGAGCTGCGAGCCACTGGTGGTCACATCGACAACGCCGTACAGTGCTTTGGTTGCTCCCAGCCAGACAGCAAACCCGGTCACCATGCCGAGAACCGGAGAGACAATGGCGGCGGTCTTGGTCTGGCCTTTCCACAGGACCGTGAGCACGGTGGGAATGATTCCTGGACACGTCACCACCCCGAGGAAATAGTCCAGCCATGCCAGGGACAATCCAATATAGTACAGCATGATGGAAAAGCCGCCGGCAAATAGGGCAAATCCAATGACGCCTAGGTGGGCCACGCGAATGATTTCATGATCCTTCGCGTGAGGCTTGATGTAGGTCTTGAAGATGTCGAAGCTGACAATACTGCTGACGGCGATGAGCTGTGCACTGGTGGTGGAGGTGACTGCCATAAAGATCATGGTCAGGACGGCTCCCGCCCCGCCGGTGCCCAGGATGGCCTGTGCAGTATAAGGCAAGATCAAACCGTTGTTGATGTCGGACGCGCTCATGGGCTGTAAGTCGAGGCAAGTATTGCTCAGTCATGCATCCTGCTGTTTGATCCGCCGTTGGTGATATGTACGTACCTTGACTGGAAACGCAGGCATGTATTGAAAGGCAATCCCTCCTACGCCAATAATGGTGCCCAGGGTCCACGGAATGGAAAAATAACCTACAGCACCTAGAAGGTATCCCGGCTTTTATTTGACAGGATCCAGGTTAGCGAGAATGACACACATTGCTGAGGGCGTGGTTCAAAGATGGATGGACTTACCACGGCAGCCGAAACATCGGCGGCAAAGGCTTTCTGCCAGAAGCCCGTGTCCATAATACATAGTCCAAAGTTGCCCAACAGTTGGGACAAAGCAAAGCGTGCTGCAAGTGGGCTGTGGACGGTGAGATAGGAGCCATCCTGGTTGCCCGACATGGGAGCTTTTTTGCTGGCCTCCACAATCAAATCATAAAGCTGACCGGGGCTGTCAACGATTCCACTTGTGAAGACTCTGACCGAGAAGATGACGATCAGCAGCAGGAGGATGAAGCTGTGCAACTACTCATACAAAACAAAAGTTAGCTTGTAGACTCGCTGGTAAAAAGTTGGTTCTCGGGAGGCGGAGAAGGAAGAGAACGAGATTGACTGACATAGTCTGTGATAAAAGTCGCTTTGATACCACCGAGGACGGTATAGAAGACCACGCCCAGGGGCAGCAGGAGAGTTGCTGCCACGATATGAACACCCGTTAGAGCATTGACTGCGAAAGAAGCCCCAACCAGCATGTTTGACACGGCTACAATGTTGTTTGCCAGGCAGAGGAAGATCCATACGCAGTGGGCGACCGGACCGTACCGAACACGGACAATCTCCAGGAGTGTGTGAGCGGCGGGAATCTTCAGCTTGGTCTGAATGGCGAGAACCGAGAACAGGCCGATCTGAACAATGTTCCCGGCGCCGTACCACAAAGGGCCTGCGACGCCAAAGAGATAGCCAAAGGCCGTGCTGGACAGCAGCGCCGTCGACCAGGCCCAGGATGATATCACCGCTGTGACCGTCAAGCCAGTGCCTACGGAACGATTGGCAGTCATGAACCTGGTATCGAAGGAAGATCAGTATTAGTTTCCTCTTCCCAGCGCTGGGGGTGGGACTATGCCTGCTAAAAGTGGCAAGGGACTCACATCTCAGAGTGCCTGTTGTCTTCGTTGGCGTAAATCTTGAGCATCCTCGTCACAAAGGCGGCACCAAAGGCGAAGGCTAACCCAACGCCCACAAGCATGCCATAGCCCACTCCCTGTGAAAGAGGCGCCTCAGGCATTTTGGTAGGACAGAAGGTGTGATTTCTGGGTAGAAATAGATTCACGACCCAAAACAAGAGCGTTTTTCGGGGCTGCTTTCGTTGCTCTGCAAATGGACCGGGTGTCCTGTATTCTGTCACTACCGTCGGTACTTCTGAGTGTGCGTGTCCTCGCTTTCACGAAGAACATCTGCCGGCCTTGTCAGCTCCTTGAGCGAAAACAAGGAGTCCTTGAAGGTAAAATCCTGGAGAAGATGCGGGTATATGTGGTCCACGGCACAGTATACTCGTACCAGAGCAGCCAGACCATATCGATGAAAGTCTAGACTCTTCGCCTGCCTTGAGGATACCGCAAGAGCAGCGGGAAGAGAGAAGGCGGAGTTTCCCTTGAAATAACATCCGTTGTGCGGGATTCGGGCCCCAGATAAGATACGGGTAATTTCCCTGTGGCCTTTTGGCCTGCTCGATATCCAAGCAACATACCGGTCATTTCTGGAGGTAATTGCGAGATCTAACTTCCGGGTGACCGTTTGAGTTTGGACTGTAGTGTGGCGGAGAAGGCCGTAAATGGTGGCTGAAATCTCGGTCTATATCCGCTCGAGCCGTTCAAGATGAAGCAGTTCTAGGGGCCTCACCGTACCCTACGTCGTCAGCGTGACGAGTTGTGACATGTATTGTTGTAGATGGTCGAGTATCTAGTCAAAAAGCGAAGTCAATCGGCAACCTTCTCTATACAGCCATCCAGGATCCGAAAAGGCCTCCGTGTGGGATTTGATTGCTCTCCTTTCCTTGAAACAGGCATCCTTAATGGGGTCGGCGACCACAGAGCCTTTATGTGTGCTGGTGACGGGCGGTGGCACTGGAATAGGTGCAAGTGCCGTCAAGTATCTGGTCAAAGACTACAAAGCCAATGTAGTAGCATTGACGCTTGGAGCTAGCGACGAGATCAAAGCCCTGGAAAGCGAGTATCAAGACTCATTTGTCTTGCATATGGGCGACGTTACTAAGGTATGTACGTCTCCGGCCATCTTGCTTATTGTTCATTGTCCCAAGAGCATTGGGATAACTAAGAACTCGAGGCTCCTTTCTAGCCCGATGATGTGGCAGCTGCAGTCCAGACCATGTCCGATAAGTTTGCTCGAATCGACTCGGTTCTGGTGTGCGCCGGGCTGGAACCGCCACCCAAACGGATACGAAACTTGGAGGCTTCCGAAATGTTACGCGTGTACAATGTCAATGTCATCGGGGCTCTATATGCTTTCCAACAGTCACTCCCGCTGCTTGCCAAGTCAACCCAGCCCCGGCCCCGAATCATCATGCTATCATCGACGGGTGACCAAGGTCACCGAAGTGGTCGGGTTGCCTATTGTGCTAGCAAGGCTGGTATGAGTCGCCTGATCGAGACGCTGGCGCATGAGGAACGAGGGTTTGATGTATACGGCGTCTATCCTGGCCTGACCGAGACCCCACTTGCAAAGGGTCTTCTTGAGGGCAAGTATAATGATATCCTCTTTCCGGAGGACCAGGTGTTCTACCGTCAGTCAGTGGAGGACGGCACCGTTGACCCTCCAGAATACTGTGGGGAGGCATCAGCTAAGTTGGCGGTGTGGAAGGCCGATGGGATACCGGGCAAGATAGCCAGCTATAGTGAGCATGTTCCCGAATGTCGCTATGGGATATGGTAAAAGAAGTATTCAATGTACATTCAGAATATAAGAATGTCCACCTCGCCATGACTAGATAAGTGTAGGGTTGGACCTTCCATTCTTATGCGTTCTCTCACTTCTCAGTCATCGTTGGTGAAAGTCTCGCGATCACATCTCGGTACAGGGCTGCAGGTGGCCACGTCTCAGCGAATGCCGTCAACAAGTAGTGACAGGTCCCAAAGCTGGATGCATTTTCATCCGAGACCTGTGATGAAGGCGTGAACTGTTGTGCCGGGCTACTAACTGGAGATCGAGCACAGAAAAGGGCATTCCCTGCGACCGTGACCTTACTAGTAGAGAGCCAAATACTGAGGAGCCGATTCTCACGGTGCAATTTGGCCAAATTTCTGATCACCGACTTGGCAGCTCTCCTGGTTTCCTTGTCCCATCGTTCATACGTAATACAACTCCGGCAGATATGGCTCCGTAGAGCTTGCAACTGAAGCCAAGCCATGTCGAACTCTGAGGTGGTGTCCAGTTGACTGATGAGCGATAGAAGCTCCTCGGTGATAGGACATTTCGACTCGTTTCGCGGGTCGGACGGGGGGCACTGGAAGATCTTTTCATGGATTCGGAATTGCAGTCTTTGAGCGTCGAACCGAGGCTGCCCTTGACGGGCCGTCAATGCTGAGTGAATGCGAATCGTGTCTTCTCGAAGCATTGCTGGCCGCCCTAAGGTAGAACATACCTGCCTGTCATAACATTAGCCCGTTTCCCATTGATCGGGCTGGAACATGTACCATTCCAGGTCGTAGAAAGCAAAAAACAACGTCTCCCGGGAGGGCTGCTCGTTTATATTCTCGCCGCCTGCCGCCTCGCGTTGCCACTGCAGGTCGACACAGAGGCGGCAAGCCATTCCTAACAGCCTCCAACAAAGCCCCCGTGACGGGTCCACAAGCTCATAGAGGATGAGAAGCAGCAAGGCTTGGAATGCTGATCGGTCCTGTCCGGCGAGGATGGTTTCCAGCAGGGTTTCTGCCCAATGGCGCAACGTAGAAGCCGTGGTCTGCACCAGCGGATAGTTTCGCGCAGCATGGGCACCTCCAATTGCAGCGGCCATGAGCACATTGAATCGCTGGCGCACCCCTAGGCGTCTAAGAGGTTGTTCAACTGCAAGGTCCCGCGTGTCCAATATCGGATACTCGCGATGAACGACGGGAAGGTAGCGTGCTTCAATGAGCTCTCTGATGTCGACTAGCGATACTAGAGACTTGTCGATTTTGTCGAGGGCCGGAGAACAGGCAAGCCTCTTAGGCAGAGTAAAATAGCCATCTTCCAAGCCATCAAAAAACCCTGGAGAACTTTGGATACTGGCGAGAGCGTAGCCGGCGGCATTTCCTGCACCAATGAAGGATGGAAATGCGGCTGGCGATGTCTTGAAGAAGGCCAAAAGGTAGGGATTCGAGAGATTTCCATCGATACATGTCCCTGCGGGCAACTCGACACCTTTGGGCTCTGAAGACGAACCCGGACTTGCAATGGAGAGGATGCCGGCCCGTGATCGTTGGAGGCGAGAAATCTCGGCCTTCAGTTTCCGTATGTTCTCATCAAGGCGAGCGATATAGCTGGAAACAGTAGAGTCAATTCTAATATTTCCTTTTGATATCGCCGTACAGGGAATGCCACCACAACGCCGTTGCAAACAAATTTGACTGACCTGCGTGGCACGGTTTCGCCGGTGACAGGATCATCGAACGAGCATTCAAGCCCAACACCGGCACAGGAGGAGCAGGCCGGTAGATTTCGGTCGCACTATTTGACGTCTCTCAGCATAGAGCGTGAGTCGCGGGGTACAACGGCAGGGAGAATCTTTTACTTTGGTCTTGCGACTTTGGCATCTGCGACAGGTGGGCAACATTTTGGCTCGTGAAGTGGATTCATTCCAGTATAGAAGCGTTAAGCAATGCGTTGATTATCGGCCTTGAAGGGCAACGGACTTTACGGCCAAGCATTGAAAGCCTAGAAGTGCAGAGGCATTTGCAAGGTCACCTAGGGTTGAGATGGCTTGGATGGTTAGGGGGAAAATTGCTTGGAACAAGACCTATGCTACCACACGTCCCGCTGACTGGGCTCAGAGAACTGCCTCCAGTTGGCTAGAAAAGCCTTACAAGCCGAACTTAACCTCCCAAGAATCCTGGATGCGTAAGGGTAGTCTTCAGAACCTGATTTGATGGGTTAAGAGACGTACGCGAGGCAGTCTTCGGACAAAACCGGTGACAGTCGGCTACAGGTATCTATACCGCCTCGACCACTACATACAGAGATCGCGACCCACAAATGATAAGAACTCTACCGCGATCCGGGGCTGTGCCTTCAGAATTAGTCACCACTGAAAACCCCAACGAGTCGCTACTTACATGATCTCAAGTCTTGGATGCCTATCAACTACCTGGTTCGTGCTTGCCTGCCTCTGTATCATGGAGGACTTGTTGCTCCGCTGGCCAGGACGCCTAGAAAGTAACAGAGCACATCGCCGAGTGACGTCTGTCTGTTCACGCTGCCGACGGCGCAAGATTAAATGCGACTTCCAACTCCCTAGTTGCAGCGCCTGCAAGAAGGCTTCTGTCGATTGTAAGGGATACGATGTCGGCCTGGAGCGTGAGGTACCCCGGAGCATCGTGCGATACCTCGAGGGTCGCATGGCGGAGCTGGAGGTCGAGTTGGATCAGTTGCGCAAGGACGTGCGTGTCCGAGCCATGCCCAACGGTTCATACGAGCAGGTCACACTGGCCACAACGCTTGCTGCAGCCATGTTAGAAGTCGTGTCTCCGAACTTGTCTCATTCGACATCTTGGCCTATTTTCTCGGCCTTTCACTTGAGTCCCTCCAGTCTCCCAATGCCTCTGAAGGCACACTTCAGCAGCAGCGGGTGGCCAACCGAGGAGCAATTGGGCGGGAATCTCAAGATACCAAAAGAACCTACACGTCCCACTAAGCTGATGCGGTTGTCCGAAGTCCCACGGAACGCCGCCGATGTGATGATCAAAACGTTCACCGAACATCATCTGCCTCAGTATCCCTCCATCTCCGAGACAACGCTGTCGGACAGCTACGAGGCTTGCTATGGGTCGGCCGAGAATGCATCCTCGTTCGAAAGGTTCATCACCTACATGGCGCTCGCCATCAGCGCAAAGACCTTGGCCTGGAAATCCGAGAAATTCGCCTTTTCGACCAGCCTCGCCTTCTGGAACCTGGCCAAGGAGGAATTGAAGGATCCATCATGCAACTATACGCCTGTTACCAGATTGCAGGTTACGCTGCTGTTGGCCCATTACGCCTTGACGAACCCGTCCGCCGCTAACTTGTGGTATTGCGTGGGTGACGCCGCTCGACTTTGCATCCAGTTTGGGTACCATCGAGAGCCGGCTCCGAATGCGAACGTGGATTTGGTGGAGCTGGAAAGCCGTCGAAGACTCTTCTGGACCACTTACGGCCTGGAAAGGTAGGGCACTGCTTGAAAAGGCCCGGCGATAACTCTTCAACTGACCACAGTTCCACTTAGAGCACTGTCCTCCTACCTCCGATTGCCTTTTCTAATCAATGAGGATGTCATAACCACCCAGGTAGGGGCAAAGTGAACCCCTTTGAAAGTGCGTGGGTGCGTCGCTAATCAGAGAACCTCCATAGTATCCGTCAGTGCTGCCCGACTCGTGTATTAGGCCAGATGGTTTGTTCCCTGGACCTCAGAAGAAGGCGGCTGCCCTCCACATGTGGCAGTACCGACGCCTGGAAAGCGAGGTCTTCCGCGTTCTCTTTTTGCAGGAGGACGTTTTCCCGTTGATGACCCTGCAGGAATGGATGGACGACATATCGGTGCGGGTGACCAACTGGCACCGGAAAGCCACGACCGATTTCGCGCCCGAGGACAAGATTGAATCGCGCGACGTTCATCTCAATTTTCTCAAGGGACGGCTACATCGTCCGACTCCGCGCAACCCGTTCCCATCGCAAGCTAGTCGCCTCCTATACATCGACACGGCACTACAGATCTCTCAGGATTTCCGTTCGCAGAAGCGCCAGGGACGACTATACTACCCGTGGTTCGCAGTGCACATCCTCTTCGAGAGCGCCGTGGTGATGCTGGATACGGCGTGGTCTTGCGCCGACTGGCTACCCTCCAAGCTCGACATCGGCCCTGTTGTCAACGGCATTCGCTCTTTCTCGTCCGTGTTGATGGACACGGCGACGCTGTGGCCTGCTGCGGGCCACTGTGCCAATGCGATCGAAAATTTGGCCAAGCCGGTGCTGGGCCGACTCGAGGCCACGGCGGCGGGGTTGGACCCAGGCCCGTCAGATGAAGGCGTTGCATCTTTACTTGCCGACTATCTATTCCCTGATCCGGACCTGAAGCCTACCCTGGTGTCCAACGATATGACCCTCCCGCTCGCTTGGGAACAAGTGGACGAAGTGGAAGCGGACGTGGATTTCGACTGGAGTGCGTACCAAGATCTCCCAGGTCTCGTCGATCCTTTCCCATTTGACTTCCAAGATAGCAATGACTTCTAAGCATACTGGTAGATCTATGGCATGCAGCGAGAGAGGGGGAGAGGTCTGCGCTGCAATTTTAGGTGCTCTACCTAAGTATTATCTCTTTTGTTTCTATCTGCCCATTCGCTTTGAGGACCTTTGGGGCTTGCACCTTGTATGCTGTCGTGACTACATGGTCAAGACCTTGATAGGCGGATTCAGGCTGGGCCTACCAAGCGACAACTCGGCTCTCGTATTCTTCACGTCCACGATGAAAGTGGACAGAGTACATATCGACGCCAGCCCGTGGGTCCCAGGCAATGCAGTTCTGCAGATGGCCAGAGGGGAGTTCGTCTCGTCGCTCATCCTCTGTCGAATCGTCTCGTACGACGGCTTCACGCCTACGGACATCTCCTTCATCCTCGCGAGTCGAGCAAAGGAGTTGGGCGCCGGACAATCTGTGAGCTCGTCGGGTTTGCCGGGCGAAATCAAATGGTTGGTATGGCACACCGTGCCCTCCGCGTCGGGCGAAATGGGGAAGTTGCCCAGCGGCGAGCACTCGATCGTGGCGAGATTTCCGGCCTTGTCGGCGATCAGGAAGTTGATGCACGAGGCCACGCCGAACGTGTCGAGCGTGGCGCGGGCCTCTTGGAGCGAGCTGGTCTCCAGCGCCTTGCGCAGCGCGACGTGGATGGGCAGTTTGCCGTGGTCGACGGCGGCGGACCTGATGGCGTTCATACACACGGCGAGACCGCGGTCGTTGAATCCATACTTGGCCACCAGCCCGGCCTCCCCCAGCATCTGGATCCGGGGGGAGTGGTCGGTGGTCCTCTGCACGTCGAGAAGGACCACCGCGTCGGCCGCCTCGGCGGTCCAGTCCCAGTTCTGGGCGATGAAGATCCCTTCTTGACCCCCCTCCGGCGCCTGGCCCAACGACGTGCACCCGTCAGACGCTTCGCCCGTGAAATTGGTCAGGCTGATCTCGCTCCGGATGTTCAGGGCGACAATGTCCAGCACGTCCACCCCGGCACCGTCGGCGATGCCCTTCATCTCCTCCCATATCTCGGGCACGAGACGCTCCAGGGTTGGGACATATGTCTCGGCGCGAGCTCGCGCTTGGCCCCAGGGGATTTTGGCCGTTTCTTCGTACAAGATGGTATAGTTCTTGATATTGAGGTGAATGCGATCCCGCGCGACCGTGCCGTGGCAGAGGCCGATCTCGGTGGCCGTTCCCCGGCAGGTCACTTCGGGTACACCTTGCCAAACCATATTGCAGAGCTTGTCTGGGGCTTTGCAAAGACCAATTACGAGTAGTCTCAAACTGGATTTCAACCTGGTTCTAAGTTATAACCGTGGTATTTGCCCAAGTTAGAGGTATTGAGATGCTAGGTTGTTTTTATAGGCTCGAATTTATTTGTTTACCTACTCCGACGAGGCAGATATAGTAGTAACGTCCAGGGCTGAGTGGAGGATCCTCACTCCCAGGTGCCGTGGTTGCCGTGAGAGCCAGCGAGGACGACAAAAGAGGCCGTGAGCGGACGAGCCCGTATATTGGTTCGAAAGCTCGGTTGTCTCCGTGTATCTCGCATTTTCCCCGGTCACCCTCCTGTTTCCTGGCGGGATTGGACGCGTATTTCCTGGCGGGATTGGACGCGTATTTCCGTAGGTACTCGATGCTGGTAACGACTTGCAGAGGGATGAATACCTGGTGGGTAAAGCAGCTTTGAGAGCAGAGGCTAGAGAGAGACTGGCTGTGATCTAGAAACACACTGACTGATCTGGGCATAATTGCTCTCACTGGAGCGTTGACGTCAAACATGGGCTCTTGCACCCTTCATACCGATCTGTTGTTTGATCCCATCTCGAAAGCCTTTCTCAAAAACGTCTCCATTAGAGTGGATGAGACGAGCGGTGAGATTACAGAGGTCATTCGTCGCGAGAATGACTCGGCTGTCGAGTTGGCGCAGGGAGATGTCGACTTGAGAGGGAAAGTGGTGCTCCCAGGTTTCGTGGATGCGCATACACATATATTCCTTCATTCTTATGAGTAAGTGCCCGTCCTGGACGTCCTCTCTTCTTTTCGTTGATAGTAACAATTCAAGCGAGGCAGTAGCGCTGGTGCAGAAGCGTGATGAAAGCTTCGTGGAGCGGATCATTCGCGCCGTCAACCACTGCAGAGTTGGCTTGCTGGCGGGCTACACGACTTACCGGTCAGTATGCGGGCATTCTAGCAAGCTGCCTCCTTTGCTATGGATATGGGAACGGTGAGCTGATGGATGCAATTATTCACTCAGGGATTTGGGCTCTGAGGGCATGCAAGACGCAGATTGCAATGTGCGAGATGCCATCAACCGTGGCATGATTCCTGGTCCAAGGCTGTACGTTGCCACCAAGGTCATTGCTTCCACGGGAGGATTCGAGGTTCGGACCGAGAACGGACTCGGGGGCCATTGTCTGCCTGCCGGTGGTGAGGCAGCAGATGGCCCAGACGAGCTTCGAAAGGCCGTCCGCCGGCGCATTGCCGCTGGTGCAGACATCATCAAGTTCTTTGGCGATTACCGGAGGAGGCTGATGCGATTTCCACCCAAGCAGCAACACCCGTATGTGGGTTCGGTCCAGTTCCCCCCCGAAGTTCCAAATCCCGAGCACGTTATGTTCACGCAGGAGGAGATGAACACCATCGTCGACGAAGCCGAGCTTGCGGACTGTCCAGTGTCTGCCCATTGTGCCACCAATGCCGCTGTCCTGGCCGCAGTATCGGCCGGCGCCTTGTCAGTCGAACATGCATTTTACACCGACGACGAGACCCTGTTGCACATCAAAAAACACAATGCAATCCTGGTCCCGACACTCGCGGTCTGCGAGCGCTTGCACAAGTTGAAATTTCCAGAGGTCCTGAAAAGAACGTATCGTGCCTGGGAATTAGGGGTACGCCTTGGTAGGTCATTCACATATATACTGCCCATGCAAAATACGTGCTAATCAACCAATATTAGCTTGCGGAGGTGACACAGGCACATATCCACATGGAGAAAATGCACGGGAAATAGAGCTTATGATTGAAGCTGGCATCCCGGTAGAAGACGCTCTAGCCGCAGGCACTGTCGAAGGTTGGCACGCGTGTGGTGGTGATCGATGTGGGCGACGGTTCGGATGGTTCGAGAAAGGAACCGCTGCGGATATTATCGCCCTTGACACTGACCCAAGGGACGATAAAGGAGCTCTGAGAAAGGTCTCCTTTGTGATGAAAGATGCCCGGATCTGGAAGCACGACGGGCTGGCTGTTGGTATGATCTAGATCTGAACTATTACATGGGGTGCACAAAGCCCCCAAGTACTGTGAACAAGGCTGTACAGCATTGGGCTCATCATTGAGTGCATAAAAAAAGAATTATGAGACCCGGACAGCACATGCATTCTTCAATCATTGTCATCGTGCCATATCCCAGCCGCCCTATGTTGCGAGATACATTCGTTAGAGATCTGAAAACAGACCGGAATGGATCTAAGACGAACGTACCATGCAGGATCGGCGTATCTCCTGGGCATTTTGCGCCCAATTGTGTCAATCAATTTAATGTCGTCGTCACTCAAGCTGAAGGTTTCGAGGTTCTCCCGAATGCGCTTTTCGGATGCCTTGTGATTCATCCTGAATGAGTACCTCTCTGGTCGAGAATACTACCTGGGTCCTCGGACTTGACTTACCGATTTTGGGACCACGGCCCAGCCTTTCTGCGTGCCCCAGGCAATGAGGCACTGTCCCACGTTCTTCCCATTCCGCGATGCAATTTGTTGTAAGTCGGCATCTTGAATGAGCGAAGATGAAGGAGAGCCCAGTGGCGAGTAAGCTATCAGAGCAATGTTCTTGGACCTGCAGTAGTCGACCAGTCTGTCCTGAGGCAGAGATGGATGCAATTCCACCTGATTAGCAGCAGGTATAATGGTGGCTTGGGAGAGAAGAGTGTCGAGATTGACCGTGCTGAAGTTGCTCACTCCGATCGCCTTGACCTTGTCTGGGTACTTGCGAAAGACGGCTTCCATTGACTTCCAAGTGCGGACAAAGTCCCAGTCCTTCTCATAGTCTGGAGAGCCGTCCGGAAGCGTGGGTGCCTTTGCATCATTTCCCTTGGGATTGAGCGGGACAGGCCTGAAGCCGGATCAACACATTGACGGCGGGCTCAGAAAAATATCAGGATCATACCAATGCATGAGCCAAAGGTCGAGGTATCCGATTCCTAAAGCCTCAAGGCTTCGGTTCAATGCCTCCTCGACACGGCTAAGCCATGTACACCAGACTTTGTCCGTGACGAAGATGTCTCCTCGAGGGATTTTGGACTCTCGGATCGCTTCCCCGATGGCTGCTTCATTCCTGGACAAATTATTCTTGTCAGATTCAACGTTTTGCCATACAATTAATGGCAAGCTCGCTTGCGAAACGTACTGATAAGAAGCTGCTGTATCGATGTGCCGGTAACCAGCCTCCAGGGCAAGGGATACCCCTGCAAATTTGGTCAAATTGCCGTTGCCATGTTTGTATCCAAGCTGCTATATACCTCGTTTTGCATCTTTACCGGTCGACTGCCACGTCCCCAGCCCGATGAGAGGCAGTTTGGCTCCAGTATTCAGATACATCACTCGTTCACCTGCCATGTTGCAACTTTGGTGCACATCATCCGTGTTCTTCTCAGAAGCAAATCTAGGCTATGTACTTCATGTGGACGTTCTAGCGCCGAACAAACCCCTGGCTCACAGCGCCGTCACCGTCGTAGTCACCTTCAATCGTGACGCGGATTAGCCCGCTCAAGCTCAGTTTCCTATCGGCCATCAACCGCCCATTTCACCTCTTCCTACCAGCTTCACCTTTATAGAAATGATGATGTTTTATCCTCATCGAGAGGTTGCTTGAAAGTTGGCAGTAGCCTCGAGGACTTGAAAATGCCATCCGCTACGCAGACTTTTGTGCTGTCCGAGGCGACGCAAGAAGTACTCAACGACTATGATGAACACGTTACTGGTGGCTTCGCACCACTTCCAGTAGGAAACGACGTAGTCATTGATGTGAAATCAAGCACGCTAATATTGTGGCAGGTGGCAATTGCGAAAGCCAAGAATGCTGCCGTCTGGGATGTCGATGGAAAACAATACCTGGACTTTGTATGATGCGGGAACCGCTTAGTCTACCAATGGCAAGGCAATTACTGACAGACCCGAAAGTTAAGCATGTATTCAGTGGTGAACATGGGACATGGACATCCACGCATTGTCTCAGCCGCTATAGACTCCATGAAAGAAGCAGCATGCGTCAACATTGCATTCCACAACCCCTTGTATGGCCGATTGGCCAAACGACTCTACGAGGTGAGAGACTCGTTGATACTCAACTCACCTCCTCAGGCTGACTGATATATTGTCTGCAGGTATTCGGCTATGACAAATTTGTGGGCATGACCAGTGGATCCGAGGCTGTGGACGCTGCGGTGAAGATTGCCAGGAAATGGGCCTATTTCGTCAAAGGCATTCGAGACGGTAGTTGTCACATTCTTACGGCCACGGCGTGCTATCATGGCGTGTCACTGTCGACAGTGTCTTTGGCCAGCAAGAAAGCTGACCGTGAGTGACCTCTTGAGACCTCGGGCGCTAGCAGAACTTGACTTACATTACATATTCAGATTTCAGCCAATACCTCCCGAATGTCGGATCGACTGCACCGAGTGGAACGTCGGTGCGTTATGGAGTGATCGAGGATCTACGGAAAGCGCTGTCAGAAGATGGCGCGAAGATCGGTGCGTTTATGATCGAACCAATCCAGGGCTCAGCAGGGTGAGTGTGTTGCCTCGACTCTGGACAAGCAGTCTGGGCCATCAAGAGGCTGACGATATGTTACAGTATCATCGTCCCACCGCCAGGCTACGTTGCCGAAGCCGCGGCACTATGCAAAGAACATAATGTACTGTTCATCGCGGATGAGATCCAAACCGGCTTTGGCAGAACTGGGTCCAACTTGTGCCACCAGCGGGACGGCGTCAGGGCAGATCTCGTGGTGCTAGGGAAAGCCTTGTCCGGAGGCCTCTATCCCATGTCTGGCGTCATGGGGCCCTCGCGTATAATGGATATCATCTCACCCTACGAGTAAGTCTTGCCCTGGTGCTTGATGTCTGCGCTAGCTCTATCTGATGACACATCCACAGAGTTGGCACGACCATGGCAAACAACCCTCCCGGGTGTGCCGCTGCCTTGGCTGCACTGGATGTTCTGGAAGAAGAGAAACTCTCGGACCGTGCAAACTACTTGGGCGGGCTCTTACTGGAGAAGCTGCGCTCATTTAATCTTCCTCATGTGATTGAATATATGGGCAGTGGCTTGTTCATTGCCGCCGTCATTGAGCAGAAGCCGCCCAAGGTTACTGGAAGGAGGATTACGGCTTTGCTGGCGCAGAGAGGCGTCCTCGCAAGCGCTACTGGTATGGGGAACCGGATCAGATTCTGCCCACCATTGACCATCAGCGAAGAGGATCTTTTGAGGGGCGCAGAGATTATAGCGACGGCATTTGCAGACGTGGAGGATATGGGAGAAATCCCCGGCGAAGCAGTTCTCTAAGCTACGTATCCACTCGTGAGTGATTTGCCAGCAACTTGAATAAGATGTGACAACAGCGTATTATGCGAAGAGGTTTCGTAGTTGACGAAACTATATTATTGAAATCAGTCTGGCAATGATACCATGAAATTGTAGTTTTACGGACGATATTTTCCCCTCCATACTCGAAGTCTTGTTGATCAGAGCACCCCCCGAGGCTGCGAGCCCTAAGGGAGAACCGTATAAAGAGTCACTGGTTATATCAGCCTTGATACAGGACAGACTTTGAATGTTGACGGTGTTCGCCGAGCCGACTTCAAGAATTGACGGTATTCGCCGCGTGAATCAAAGTCTTTTGGCATATATTATACCACAAAACGGGTTTTTGAGGTCTAAGTCGTTATGATTAAATCCCAGATCATGGAATTCTCATTTCTAAGCTGGACCAGCGAGCCTCGCCTGTATTATCTACTGGGTATTGTGTTGATATTGTTGGTATGCTGGCGAGCATTAGACTACGTTGATGGTCGTCGCCCTATCAAAAACATTCCGGTAATCCCTGGCGCAAAACCAATCATCGGTACCACAACTCCCAAAACCCCAGTGGCTGGGTCCTCAGCTGAAGAATAGTTCTTGAACTCCACTGACATGCGGCAGGGCATCTGGGATTACTTGGTGGGACGCAGGGTCAACACGATGCCACAATATGGACTCAATGGTCCAGAACTTACAATGCCCCTGTCTTTCAGCTCCGATACGGCACTCGACGCGTCGTCGTTATAAACACGATGGCAGTCGTCCGAGGTCTGGTCACGGGATCAAATGCTGCTGCGCTCTCATCACGACCACATGAGCCGATCATGAGCCAAACATTTGGGCTGGGAGTGGGAACTCAACCCATGTGCGACCGGCTGAGAAGAATGCGAACGGCCGCTCTGAAGTCGGTGGCTCGGCCGACATGGGCCTTCCTTGACCCTGCGGTCCATCACCAAACCTGCGTCATGGAGGCCGATTTGAAGATTCGCGGCCGAGATGGGACTGTCTCTTTGGACCCATTCCCATTGCTTCAACGATTGACCATGAATCTCAGTTTCCAGATCACATACGGGATTCAGATTGACAACGCCGAGGAGGCCCGGTACCAGGGCATTCTGAAACAGGCCGCACATGTCAGCCGGATTCAATCGGTGACCAAGACATGGGCCAACTTCATTCCGATCTTGATGTGGACGCCGCGGGTACGAAGAGACATCAAGCTTGCTCGAGCGGGCCAGGCGATGCGCGTTGCATATCAAAGAGATCTGTTCGATCAGTTGATCAGGGAAAGGAAATCAGGAAAGCGGCCGGCCTGCATTGCAGCGTCTCTGCTGGATGATAGTGAAGCTAAACTAGACCAAGGTGCGTCACTCCATTGCAGGTTTTTGTGTCAGTCTAATATATCATAGACGAAATCGACGCCATTTGCAGGGCCATGCTACAAGGGGGAGTGGAGACTATTGCTGGCACGCTTGTGGGTGGGCTAGGAAGCATTTCAACACTGGCCGGTCAAAAGATCCAGGAAACTGCATACAATGCAATCCTGAAGGAGTATGGAGATGCAGACATCGCCTGGAAGGAGGCATTCTCCCCTGAAAGAGTGCCCTATCTCTCGGCTCTCTATAAAGAGTGCTTGGTGCGTGTCCAAACCACGAGTACCTTGTTCGCCTCGCAGGACTGACTGTG